AAGCCCAATAGCCACCTCCAACATTCATCTTCCTTAGTAGGTTCCATCAGATCGTGATGTTTCAGCATCAACAAAGGCAACAAATGCAAAGTTCTGGATCTTCTAAAAACAGCAGTTAATCCTTATTTCTCTACCCACCTACCTCCCACTGTGGGAAAGCTATTTAAGTGAGTTTTGACAAAGATTTGCAAAAGATAGGGTTGGATCCAATGTTACTCTGACAAATACTGTTCATTGCAATGTGTTTATGGCAAGTAGGACTAACATTAGATGCCACCCACTGTCTTTGCTTCTCATATGGCCCACCCATATGCCTACATCTTCTGCATAAGCATAAGTTCCAAGACACATCATTAGTAGCAAAGACAATGGAGAGCATAGTGGTACCTTAAAGCTGAACAAATTCTGGCACAAGCTTTCACTGACATTAGCCAAACTTGTCAGATATTTGAGACAGTATGGAGATTTTCAGGTTTTTATATGGTAGATGGGGGGTGGATTTATAAACAGGAAGGTAAAAAGGAAAAGCCATGAGGGAAATGAATATATCTTTGTTTTCATTGAATATTTCATAGTCCTATTTCCCTCACCTAAAAACAGTCAAAGACTGCGATGCTGACATGATCAGACATGGCAGCAAGTTCTCAGAACATTCAAATCCATCCTTCTGCATGTTGTAACAACAACAATGCTTGATGGGAGTCCAAGGCCAAGATTATCCACACTCTTATATTGCTGATCACTGTATGTGGGTATGACAGTGAAGGAAGCGGAAAGGAAGAAAATGGAGGTGTTCAAAACATGGTCCTGAGGGATTGATTTGCAGATACACCGGACCAAAAGAAAGATGAACAAGCAGGTTCTAGCTCTAATCAATTCAGAACTTTCCCTGGAAGCAAAAGAAACAAAACTGAAGCTGTCATACTTTGGGCATATCATGAGAAGCCTGGATTCACTGGAGAAGAGAATAATAATAGGGAAAATGCAAGGCAGAAGATGACAAGAAAGACCAAGTCCATAAAGGAAGCCAGAACCTTGATTTTACAAGAGCTGAGCATGTCTGTCCAGGACAAGACATTTCAGGAACATTCATTCTCAGGTCACAAGTTTGAGGTAATATGATGGCACATAACATCAACAACAGAAATAATCTATGCTGAAGTAGCCCTTTGAAGATACTTTTTATTATTTTGACAAGAATTCACACATTCCAGCATAGATTCACACATCCCTACACACACACCCCAAATTTTCCATGATGCAGGGAATTGTGGCAGAGTCCAGATTTAAAGTAAAGCAGAAGAAATTATGGTGATGATTATTTACCACACACGGGATGGGAGAGGGGAGGCTGCGTTCACACAACACAGCAAAGAAGCCTGCACTGTCTCCACAGCATGAACATTTTTGCCAGACCTCACCAGTCAGATGATCATGTGGTTACCAAAGCAGAGTGATTTCCACATTACCCACTCCATCCTCCCATACAGTTGAGCATCTGTAGTTGGGGATTGGGGGCAGTGGAGATTAAACCAAGAACTCTGTTCATGGAAAGCCATTTGCCCATTTTGGACCTCTCCTCTTCAACCCCAGACTACAACCATTTTAGTATTTGTAAGAAGCTTCAGGGGCCACCATGAGAATGAAAGGTGGGGAAGTCCACTTTCATCAGTACAACTGAATCAGTGTAAAGATGCACCCAATCCTTATCTTCAAAATGAATAACTTGTAAAAGTTTTACTATACAGAATAGCAGCAAACCACCAAATGATGGCCATCTTAGGTATTTGGATTCCTTTTGTATTTATTCACCTGTGTGGATCAGCAATTTAAACAAAATAAATGGATGTTTAATTCCCTATGGGATGTTTGATTTCTTACAGCAAATTCACTCAAGTGGCTGAGCTTCCTCCATAAAAAATTAAGAGTAGAGGATGACTGGTGATAAAGAGCTCTCTTATTATCCAATTGAGCTTGCCAATAGAAATCTGATATGTGTTGGGCAGCTCTTCATTGATCAGTTTAAGAGAAGCAGTAATGAAATCAATACAAATGAGTGAGCATTTCCAGCAGACAGATCTGATCAAACAGATTTTCTAATGTGCCCTGCCTGAGTGCTTCATGCTCCAGTGGAATTAATGGAGTAGTAGTAAGAAGATTAAAGGTTGAAAGTGAATGCTTAGGCACAAATTTTCATCCTCACTAAGTTTCCGGTTATATGCACCAAGAGATGGCATCAAAATTTCACTCTAATTTGGAGTTCACTTCAGGGTAGAGATGCCGGCCAAGTTCCTGGAGCCAGGCTCTGAAAATAATTGAGCAAGGCTTTGCTTGCAGCAAAGAAAGGGTAAGTGCTAAGAGCCTCTGAATTCTTCATCCCCTTGGGCTGATATCCAAGAGGGAGAAGAATGGCTAGCTTGGTGCCAGCAGAATTTCTTTCTTGCCTGAGACATGCAAGGGAATATCTTTTTTCTGTCACCTTACATGGGGGTGTGGGGGTTGCAGATGCTAAAAAAGGCCCAACTGCTCTTCATCCTGACCCTAGAACCCCTATCCAAGCCCCCAATTGCACCTATGTGGTTTTTCTCCCCACTCCTGTGCAAGCTTGTAGAATGGGGAAATGGAGATGCACCCCCTTTACAAGGGCACTTAAGAGGAGAAAAAATATTTCTCCCCTTTGGAGAAATAACAAAAGCTGTCCCTTCTCCCCACTCCCCATCTTCTTTTTTCTACAGTTCCATAGGAATGAATGAAGACATTTGCTCCTAAGAGGTGAGGAAAAAGACTCCAGGAGCACTGAGAAATGACCATATATAAGGATGAGAAACCACTGATGTTCACAGAGCTCAAAGATTCTCTGAGGTCTGCTTCATGGGAGGTTTTAAAAATCCAGATACTGCACCTGCATCATTATACTTTTCATTACTGTCACAACTGTATAGAATTGCTAAATTTAGTTAAGTGCAAAGCTCTTGGAAGTACTCTGGTTCATCTCTGATTCTGCCTCACTGTAAATTCTAGCTTACTATTGGTACGAAAGGTATTCGGAAAGCTTCTAGACAGTACTTGTTGAGTAAGCTCTTTCATGTATTTCCACACTATAAACATTTAATGAGATTGGCTCCCAACACACTGTTTACTACCATCCATTTATTTCATGGCACTTCATTTGCAATGCAGAAGCAAGATAGAGCAAAGGTTATTTCAGGTGCTTATCCAATGCCATTTTTGAATAAATAAAGAAAAATGAAACCATTTAATTTTGAAAGCATTCTTAAAAGGTTAAATACTCAATCAATTTTGCTTTATCTAACTCAGCCAGCCTCAGGTGCTGTTTACACTACTTGAGTAAAAGCTACATAGAAAGGTCTATGAACAAAAGATTGATAAAAAATACAGTCTAAGGCAAGGATTCAAGAAAATATGTATGAGTACTTCAATAAAATAATACACACACACATGGTCCTCCTGTTGTTTCTGGACTCCAGGTCCCATGAGCTCAGGTAACATGGAGCCAGTGTGGTGTAGTGGTTAAGAGCATGGGACTGGGACTCAGGTGATCTGGGTTCTAGTCCCCGCTCGGCCATGGAGCCAACTGGGTGACTTTGGGCCAGTCACAGACTCTCAGCCCAGCCTACCTCACAGGGTTGTTGTTGTGGGGATAAGATGGCTGAGGAGATGTAAGCTGCCTTGAGCCCTTTGTAGGAAAAAGGTAGGATATAAATAGAAAAATAAATAAATAAATAAATAAATAAATAAAACATGGTCAGGCAGGATGAAAGCTTTAATGCAAGATCCAGCAGGCCACAGGCTGACCACATATCTAATATTCCCAAGCAACACTGATACACAGTGGGGGCTGATATGTGCAAACCCCTCCTCTTGTTGGAAAACTGCAAAAGTAAGCCTCTGCTCTCAGGCTTTTGCACCATATGCCCAGGGCACGCCATATTGTGTGCATGGAACAGGAGAACATCTCTTTACCATACGAAGAAGATGACCGGACAAGCAAACGTATATGTATTTTACTTAGGAACACATTGGCTTGAATGTGGACGAAGGACTACAGTTCAAACATTGGCTGGTTATATCATGATAGCATGAGGATGGAAGATTCGATTTAACTGTGAATTTCTGTCTGCCTGCTTCTGGGTGAGGCTGCACTCTCTTGAGGTATAAACTCTCAGGGCTGTTTGAGAAATTCATAGACTCTCACCTAATTCGCACATGGTGCACTAAAATGCAAATCAGAATGCAGACCCTTGACGTGACTTTTGCAAGGTGGGTCCTTTTAAAAAATAAAACTGCCAAATATTAGCTGTTCCAAGCTAAAACTACCAAATGCATCCCCCCCCCCCGTCCCCATCCTTGGGAAATGGGGCTACACAAATTCCTTGATTATGATCCATCCTTCCCAGAAACAAACAATCTATGAGAAAAGCACAGCTGAACTGGTTTAATTTCAGTTTTCACAAATTCCATGACAATTTTAAATTCCACACTGTGTAAGGGGCACAAAAGAGGCTTAAATTGAACAAATGCAAATATGACATTCATAGTGTCCAGTTATGCCATCTTTTGACACCTAATTTCTAGGATGGTACCTTAATTGCTTTTAACAGTGATGCTACTATTGCTTTTCAGCTGCCCCTGGGTTATGAAAAGGCATGGCTGAGTACGAGTTCCAAAAGCGAACTCAATAAGCATAGCTACTTGTAAAATGAACCAGTGGGCTCTTCTGTCAGATATTGTGTTTCTGTGTGTTCCCTGTCTTGCAGGGAGCAAAGAAAATACACCACCTCCAATTAAACAACTATGAATGCCAAGTCACTTATCAAAGATATAGATCATCCAAGCTGGGAGGAGTTTGAGAGACTCTTGCTGTGCAACCAACCATACAGGTCAAAAAGCTCTGGGTTGCCACTTTCCAGAAGTGCAAGTCATTTAAAATAAATTAAGCCATTTTGCAGAGAGTGCTGCAGGGCTATGCATTCACCTACCTCAAGTTCATCAAGGGCACTTCCAAGAGTAGCCGACTGTGAGATGGGCTGCACCTTTTCATTTCCAATTCCTTGGGAAGCTTTAGAAATAGCATCAAGGGCATTCTGTATTTCATTACACACTGAGTCCTTGCTGGCAACAAGAGATGCAATGTCGGAATGTTCCAAACAAGCCGAGCAAATGGAGAGCAGAAGAGGCGAATTTTTCTTCAGAGAAGCACGTGCTGCGGCAATGTCATCTCGGTGACTGGTAGATTTTAAATCCTGTCAGGAAAAGCACAAGTGTATTTTATTCTTAGAGTATTTTAAAACGGATTAAGTTATATAGCAACACATTATTTCAGTGATTTCTGTAAGCAGTGAAGAAAAACGTGGAGAAGGGATTCCTCAAAGATGACTGTATTTTTGTCTGTAGAACACTTTTTGCAGCTATGTGGTAAAAAGCCATGGGTGAAAAGGAACAAATCTGGGTAAAGCAAGGCCAGGGAGAAATACGCTCTTCCTTTGTTTTTCAAAGTGCCCAGAATAATTGTGGGCAACCACTACTAGAAGCTAACATAGACTTGTTAGGAACAAATCTTGTCAGCCTAATCTGATCTCAGTTTTTACTGGGTAACCCCCTTGTGGACTGTGTGAATGCTGTAGATTTAATATCATCTCATCTTCAGCAAAGCTTTTGACAAAGTGGCCCATGATAGCAAACTGATGAGCAAACAAGCTAAAAGTGGGTTTGATGGTATAACTAGCAGGGGGATTCAGAGATGGCTACAGAATCATACTCAAGGACAACGTTTCTATTAATGATTTGTATAAGGAGAAGCAGGGAATGTTTAGCAAATTTGTAGATGACAGAAAATGGAAGAGGTGCACCTGGCGCCGAGTTTATATTCTTTTCGGCACCAGGTTAAAACGTTTATATTTAATGGCTATTTTAAAAAACTAATATTGTATCATTAAAAAACAAAAAGAGCGACTGTTGTTTTTATATAATCTTTTATGGAATTTGATATTGTTTTATTGTTTTTAATTGTATGTGTTGTGAGCCATCCCGGGATGCCGAGGCATGTGGTGACAGCATACAAAAGTTTTAAATGGATAGATAAATAGATAGATAGATAGATAGATAGATAGATAGATAGATAGATAAAAATTGGGTGGGAGAGCTAATGCCCTGGAAGACAGAAACCAAACTCAGAGGATCTTGATTTTAGTCCAGTCTGCCAGCCTATCAACAGAATGTAACCTGTTGCCAAGTTTTGCCCATGAGAAACCAAATATATAGTTACAAAATGGGGAATACTTTGCTCAACAGTATTACAAGTGAGAAAGATCTTGGAATTACTCCTAGATCACAAGCTGGATGTAAGCCAACAATATGACATGGCTGCAAAACAGGCAAGTGCTATTTTGGGCTACATTATTAAATGTATCACTTCTAAATCTCTTGAAGTACTAGTCCCCCTCTCATCAGCACAGGTTAGGCCTCATCTTGAGTACTGCATCCATTTTTGGGCATGACGAATTTTTAAAAGATGCAGACAAACTGAAAAAGATTCAGAGGACAACAAAGATGATCATGGAACTGGGAACAAAGGAGAGGATGAAAGCATTTGGCATGTTGAAAAAAGAAGCCTGAAGCACTCTTCGAGTACTTGAAAAGTTGCCACACAACACAGAGGAGGGCTAGGATCTCTTCTTGATCACCCCAGTGCACAGGAGACCGAATAATAGGCTCGAGTTACAGGAAGCAGATTCCAACCAAACATCAGGAAAAACTTCCTGACTGTTGAAGCAACACAACAGGAGAACCAATTACCTAGGCAGCTCGTGGGCTCTCCCTAACTGGAAGCATTCAAGGTGCAGTCAGAGAACCATCTGCTAGGGATGCTTTAACCTGAAATGCTTCATTGAGACCCGATGGCCTTCTTGGTGCCTTCCCACTCTGTGATTCCATGAGTTTATGAATTATACCATTTAAGTGTGCTAACTTGGCACTGACTGGGCCCCAGAACAAGGATGCCAATAAAGCATGCATGCTAAGGATGAGACCCAAAGAAAGTGTGGATGAAGCAGGACTACCAAGCATCTCTATCCCAAATACACAGAGTCAACAATATGTGTTTCTGTGAATCCCAGGCCCTGTGCAGCATGACACCATGCTTTTGAACAACACACAATACATGGAAATGCAAGGAGCACATGGTATACGTTTCACAAGTGCTATTTATTTTCAGGAGCCAGTCATAAGTCCCACCAGAAGCTGGTGGAGACTTGCCGAATTCTACAAGTCAAGAGCCAGCAGATAAGCCTCTGCGGTACCAACAGTGCAACACAACAGTGTCGTAATTCTGCCTGGACAAGGATCTAAGCACAAGTTGCACAATGACTGAAAAGAGCGGGGAAACACTAAAGAAGAAGTAGGAGAATCAACCATTTTAAAGGCTGAAATTATTGGCTACTTCTACATAATACATTCCAGCCAGAGAAGAAATGCAACAGAAAATAATTTCAAGACAATTTCTGGAGTAAAAAGCACCAAAGGCAAGCCCTTATAGCTCTACAAAATATCCTGGGATATATAATTACTAACTAGCGCATGCTGGCATCTCAGTCATAGATAAAAAGCTCAGAAATACAGCATGTTAATTTTCCTAGCTGCACAAAGAAATAAATTCCTTAGCTTATTTCTATTCTGCAACTCAATAGATTCTCAGGCATGTTTTACAATAAAGCAAAAGGGCAGAAAACAGGGTATTTATCTTTTCTTTAAAAAAAACACAATTGCCATCTAGATTCTTATATGCCATTTCTATTTTCTGCCATAAAATCATTCATAAATGCAGCTTAATTACTAATAACATTGTTAATTTTATTGATCCTTGCATATGCATCAAGATCCACTACTATATACTTTTTCTTGCTGCTTCGTCCTCATTTTTCTATACAACAGCTTCATTCACATTTCAAGGGACTTTGTCATGGGCAGTGTCAATACAAGCTAAGGCAACTGCCACCAACATCACCTCCTATCCCGCAGAGCTGTTCAGTGTTTCTGAGCACTCGGTGCTCAGGGGCAGCAATGTATATTAATCGAGCTTACTCTGATTGCTCTCAGTGTCCTAATTCCTGGACAACTCTGTTCTTTAGACTTCTTTCTACATTGGACTCGCATGACTCTTAATCTGCTCCTCACCACTTACACCCAAACTACTTCTGGGCCACTTCAAATGTACTGTTATTCACCCTTAAAACCCTACGTGTCCCAAGAACAAGTTATTTTAAGGAATACTTCCTTGCTTATGAAACTACGCACTCCTTGAGGCCCTGAACTAAGGCCATGCTCCTCCACACTCCTCCTCCTCTACTATGAGGTGAAGTGGCTAGAAAGATGGTGCAGGGCCTCCTTGATGCTTTCTTTCAGAATCTAGATCTCTCTTCCGTTGGTCTTGCCATTTAAGTGTGGTGTGCTAGTCCATCCTCATGACTGAGCCACTTGGATTGTCTGGATTTCTAGATATGGGCCATCCTTCGAACCCAACACTTTCTTATTCATGACCCATTTCTTAAGATGTTCCTCTCCTGCAGGAGAGAAAATTCTCATGCTAACATAAGAATGCCGAAGAACTAAAAACGGGAGGAAATAAAGTTCTTGTTTAATGATTATCTGAAGAGAAACAGTTCCTTAAGTCTAAAATGCTACCTTTGGAAAATATTTTCCTCTTCCAACTGTGGAAAATCTGGAAATCTAGCAGATTCCATTACCTCATACAAACCAGGTGCAATGAAAACTGTAGGGCGAATGCCTCCTGGTGGTATCAATTCCTGGCCATACCTGATTAGTAGGAGAGATGGTTCAAGGGGAAATTGGGACGCAGAAGCATTGTCCTAGCAAAGCACACATATATGAGTGATAATAAATAGCTTGCATCACAGGCAAGAACACATATTTACCCTTCTTATACCAGAAAGGAAGACCTGATTATATACATGCACTATTCCCAACTTGCATATACATACAAGTTTTACAATTCTAAAGTGACCAAGCATTTTCTTGAACACATTGTAAAATACTGAGGTCAAGGTTTGAAGTTGCGTATATGGGTTCCCATTTAATTCAGTCAAGAGTCAAATTATCCAAAATCACAAGAAATCACAGGTTTGCTGGTGTGTGAAGTAGAGAGATACTAGAATCCTTTCATTACAAATAAACCAAACTATTACCTCAAAAATAAAAATATGGTAGTCATATATCAGATGAGTGTTTGCCAATGTTAATTTCACAAAAACACCATCAAAGTTGCTGGGACAGTGATAACCTAAGAAGAATGACTTTTATATCTGTTCCAGAACCCAAACACAAACACAATTGAAGATTTCTGTATACAGCTGCCTTAATTAAAAAAACAAAACAAAACACTCAGGTGATTTTGAGCTTCACTGCCACAAAAACGGCTCCTAATTTTGTTTTGCATGAGTTTCCAAGCACCCTCTGGAAATTCAGTGACAGCCGCAGAGGTTCCATGCTTCAGCTAGTGAAGGATTACCATTCTGAATTTTTCATACCATCCTCTATGTGCTGAAACTACTACAGAAGTCATGCAGAAAGGTATGTTATCTATCACAGCTTTCACCTTCTTCTATCATTCATCAGCTCTAATTTCAGTTATATTTGCTATGTCCTGTTTTCCCAATACTTTTAGTTTAAGATTTTTGTTTTTGCTAGCTTGCTGAGCCACTTTACAATAAATCAGTTTAGAGGCTTCCTGCACAAAAGCTTTTCTGCCTGTGGACACAGTTTAACTCAAGTCTCATATCTGGCTTAGACCCATATTAAATTGCCCAGGATGTACAGTACATAGCACTCATAGGAAAAATCATATTCTGATTATCGTTATTTTTAGAACACATCTAAAAATCCATCTTATACCACTAAGAAGTTCTCAAAGCCATTTATAAACTATTCTTGCAATAAAATCACACTCAAATACAATAAAAGAATAGAAATTAGATGGTGCACACTGACACCAAGCTGATTCAGGCAATTTATTTCCTACCGTTATTATTGGACTTCTCCATTGCTCTTTCACCACCCAAGAACCTCCTAGGCAGCAGTTCCCACTGAGGTTCTCTGAGCAACATGTAGGTTTGAGCAGCTAGAATTCACTCATCCCGAGGCAGAAGCTGTCCTCCTTGACAAAAAGAGTGCCACCTTTGAGTGTTCAAAGTGAGCTTGTGAAGGAGTATTGCAGGGCACCTTCCCTTAT